GGAGGAGGAGGGGGCGAGTTGCGGGCGACAAGCGAGTTGTCTCTATGATTACCAACCTACACAATGCAGACACAAAGAAAGTTCAGAAAAGAAAACGAGTTCGCAGGGCAGATGGAACAGTAAGACTACAGCAGGTTGTGGTGAACAAACCACAGGCAATTGTTGACTACAATAAGTTCATGAAGGGTGTTGACCACTTTGATCAAATGGTAAAGTATTACCATTTCGCCAGGAAATGTCACAAGTGGACCAAGAAAATAACATTTTATTTCTTGCAAATGGCATTGCAAAACGCTTATGCATTGTACAAGGCCAACACAGATGATCGAAGGAAACTAACTCTGCTCCAGTTCCATGAAGTTGCTATTTGGTCTTTATTGAAATTTGACAAGGCAGAGTGGCCTGCAACAACTACACCATCTCCACATCTAGTTCATGCTCCAGACATAAATGATGACACTGGTCCTGTGTATCCTGCTGCTGACCCGTCAACACCTGGCCCGTCGGGTGTGAGGCGCCCTCTCTTCACGTCTACACCTAGTGCTGAAGCTGAATCTGATGAAGATAATTCATATTCCACATTAGTGTTTGAAAACAATAGTGAGAGCGACGATTCAGACAGTAGTTTATTGCCAACCCAGAGACAACAGCGACGTGTTGTTATAGCAGAGACTCGCCTGAACTATAAATTGAAACATGAGCTGGTAAAAATCCCCAAACGTCGCAGGTGTGAAGTGTGTGCAAAGTCGGGTATCAGGAAGGAAACTGGTATAGCGTGCAAGACATGCGATGTTCCACTTTGCGTCATACCTTGTTACACCACTTATCACAGGAAAAGGGTGTATTGGGTGGACAAGAAATAACCACCCGCACCAGCTTCACTCCACCTAGGAACATCTGTTGAGCAACTTCAGGAATCAGTACCTGAAGGAGGTGGAGTGGAGATAAAATGCTCAACTTATTTTACTACAATCGTCTTTGCTTTGGTAAGTACACATAATTGTCTTAGATTGTTTCAGTATTGTAGTCTATTTTCTTAGGAATATTTTGATACCTAAATGAGAACTGTAGCACGAAAACTAAAGTAAGTATACACGAAACAAGAGAAACTTTTTTTGTGGGTGTTGCGGGTGTGAGTTGGAGTGTCAAGAGCGGGTTCCGGTTGTGTGTTTTCCGTCATCTCTACAGCTGTGAATTCCAAGGAATTGTATTTGATATGCATATGTCTGTGTAGGGAATTTTATTCCGAACACTATACAAAAGAAAAAAACGGTGTGAAACAAGTATAAACTTGAAAAACATGAGCAAAGTAAAAACTTTTGACGCTCACGGGTACAAACACGCGTAAGATTTTATTCGCCGCAAATTTATTTGACGCTGTGTTGGCCAACTCTACCCATGTTCTTATAGAACTTTCTATTGCGAACACATTGCTATAAAAATGAAATACGTAGCTCCAGAAATAATGTCAGGACAGTGAAATAAGTATAAACATTCAAAGCGCTGCATCACACCAGTGTCGTCGCTGCTGAAATCACGGCTAACGCTTCGCCCAGTTCCCACACTCGTGCGGGTCACCCGATACCATAATTAGACATTGATAGGCATATGTCTGGGTGGGGAATTTTATTGCGAGTTCAGTGATATCAAAATGAGCGCTGTAGGATGACTGTGAGGCTGGCAACAAACGAAAGAGTATGAACATTTACTTCCTGTTTGGGTGTCACGGCGAGTCATCTTCGTGTTTATTTACTTCGTGGTGGGATACCAAATGCTTGGGTGACATTTTATGCATATGATCTTGTAGAGAATTTTATTGCCAACGCATTGATACCAAAATGAAAAACGTAGCTCGAGAATTGATGTTAGGAGCGTGAAAAGATTATACACTTTTTTGTGTTTACGCTTGAGCGCCCAGAACGCCGCGCGCACAACCCGCTTTATTTTCAGCAAGTGCCGCGCGCACTAAAGTGTTAATTCTAAAGTTCTAGTGCCAGGTTTCTCTTTTAGTCCATGCAAGGACCTTATGCTCCGTTGAATAAGTTTATCATCATACACAATCAAAGCAGTGCGTTTTTTGTAGACTCTCTGACAGTAAACCAAGTTCATGCAACGTGTCATACATTTAGTGCTAAATCAAATAGAAACTGTTCTGAAGTTAGCTTTTACAACAGACCTCCATAGGTTTTTGTCACTTCTGAATCTTGTTTCATCTTTCACTGCTTTTTCAAAATGAAAACAGTGCTTCATAATTTGTTCACACTGCTGCAACTGTTCAAAATGAGCTGGCCACTTACCTGGCGCTCAGAACACGGACTATTTGAAAATCTGTTGTTCAAGTTGAGAGGCACATTCAGATAGTTCCTTTTGATTTAGAGGTGATCTACTGTAAACTGAGTACAATTTGTCCATAAATTCTTGAAAATTATTAATTTCATGAACTTCTCTCACTGAATAACCTACAGAAAGTTCTAATGTCATTAAGACAGTGCCAGATTATTATATCAGGGGAATTGTTCATTGAGAATTGTTGCAATGCCAGATTTAACACCAAGCATGACACTTGCATCCCACACTAGCAAATGCTACAAGGTTCTGTTTCAAATATGTAAGTCATCAAACCCATGATAATTGAGACAGCTCAATAGATGCCCAGCAATTGTTGCTGCTTTCTGAGCAGGTAGTTAAGTTAGATCTAAGAACATAGAGTGGGGATAACCTTCCTTATCACTTTCACATTTCAAGTAAATTGTCAAGGTTGCTTAATGCTAAGGCTTGTTGATTCATCAATGAGAACAGAATCTTGCCATTTATCTGCTTGGTATGTTAGCAAATTTTCTTTTTTCATATTAATGGCTATGTAATTAATTATCTCTGGAATGGGACTGCATTCCCACACTAGTGCCACAATGTCAACACCATTTTGCTCTTGTAGTTCCAGTAAGCCAAAGTGATCAGAGTATGATCAGTCATTCTGAGCTAAATAATGTGCAGAACACAAAATTGAACACGTTGTCTTTAGATGTGAAGCATTCATGGCATCACATTTATAGACCTGTATCATTAACAAGTATAAGAGTCAAAATATTGGAAAAAATAATTAAAACTAAATGGGTAGAACACCTGGAGAAAAACGATATAATATCAGACAGTATGGTTTTCGATCTGGAAGATCCTGTGTGTAACGAATTTAATCAGTTTCTATGATCGAGCCACAGAGATTTTACAGGAAAGAGATGGTTGAGCCATTTTGTTCAAGGGGATTAAAAGGTCGGTCCCTGTCATAGTCGAATTCCGTTACCCCGGTGGTCCTGCACAGGCATTGCTAATGGTCAATGACGTCACCAGGTAGCCGCTCAGTGACCCTGCACAGGTACGTTCAAGGGGATTAAAAAGTCGGTCTATGAGTCGCGTGTTTTGAGTTACCTCAGTGACCCTGGAACCAAATGTATAATAACATCATTCCTAATCTATTTCAAATCTCCTATTTACTTCCAATCTATGTTAACCAGAACATCAACTGTCGCTGTTAGATGAACTTCAGTAGGTCTAGGGCCTACCGGGGACCACGAGCCAGAACCTGGCCCCCTCATGGCGTATAGAAACCCCCATGTGGTTGGAAGCATTCCTGCCATCGACCGGGTCAAGCATCCAGAAAGGTAAGCATTCCAAAACAAACCCCTATTCTGGTGAAAATTGCTACCTAAGCCGAACTAGTGGATAGAACTCTTCAACAGAAAACAATCATACACCGCGCCGCTGTCTGCGCAGCTCCCACCCTCCCGGGAGGGGGAAGGGGGAGCCCCAGACCTCCCACGCCGGCTATCCACCCATCAGTTCTTCGGCTGATGCTATAGGCAATGGTTATGTGCTCCGGCTCCAGTGGTTGTGGAGTGGCACTTTGCTGCCGTTTTGTGCCTGGGGATTGCGTGCGGTTTTTGTCCCTGCCTGATTGTCCACCCTGGTTGTTCTCCTGGGGTTTTTTGTGCTTCTGCTCTTTCTTCCTGCCTCCTCTGCAGCAGGGATGTTCTGCGTGTGTTCTTAGGCGTTGGTCAGCCTATGTGCTTCTTTGTCTCGGTCTATTGCAGTTGTTCGTGCCCCTTGGTTCGAGTCCTGTTCTGGCGGCGACCCTTCCGCCTTCTTTGGTTTTCCTAGCTTGCCCTGCCGGTTGTTTTTTTTTTTTTTTGGGGGGGGGGGGTTCTTGCGATGTCTCGCGTCGGACCCGTCGTTTCTGAACTCCTGGCGTGCTTGCATGCTTTGGGGAGTTTTTCTGTTCGGCAGACGTTCCATCCCTTGTGGTCTCGCCTCCGGTTGGTATTCGTGGTAGGTGTCCCACCTGCGTGCTTCTCTTGGCGGCATACTCTTGTTGGCTTGGTTTACTCTCGGCTTGGTTTTCTAGTGGGGGTTGGGGGCCGTCGTCTTGCCACATACTGTCGCCTCTTTTCGTGCGGCGCAGGCGGAGCCGCTTCAGCTTGCTTTCGGTCTTGGTGTTGCTTCTGCACCGTTAGTCAGCACCTCCGGCCTGTTCGTGCGCCGCTTGCACCATCCTGGTCTCTGGTCAGCGTGCTCTATAATGTAACTCCATTATTTTCGGGGCTGTGGCGCCTTGGGTTGGCGTTTGCTGCCGGTTGTCTCGCCTCCTTGGGGGGTGCATATTCAGGAAGGTCCTATTTATTCCCCTTACCTATCTGGAAGCCATATAGTGTCCAGCCAAGGATTGTTTATTGAGCATAGGAATGAATGAAACCCACCATCAGTCATTTGCATGTAGCAAAGGAGGAGCAACACATAGTATGAACTATCATGGTACCTAAAACTTTGGTAGCTACTGTAACTCATTTGAGGTACTAGACACTAGTGGCAACAAAGGTAACCCTTCATAACCATGTAGTAAAACACATTAGAACAACCCCAATTGGGCTGACCATTCACAAATAAAACAATGTTGCAAGTCACGCCGCTAACGGTTCAGTGTTAAAATATTATTTTCTTTGTTTCAGCTCTCGCGAGGACGTTATGATCTTTACAGCAGATAAGATTCCACAATTAAAAACCAGAACCAATCCCAAGCACAGCCAGGATGCACAACAGCAACAAGGAAAGCAAGGCAAGGGAAAGAAAAAAAAGTAAATTACCATTATGTCTTGTGAAACTACAGTATGTTAATAAAGGAAATGCAAAATAGTTGTACTGTCCTTTATTCCTACATGAAACTGTAGTTCATTTTATCGTCATGCATATTTTTAAAGTATTTCTTATACTGGGTAGAATATGTAGTCAGATTACAAATACTCTCTTGAAACCTTTTGTAACTCAAAGAGATTTGTAATGTTTTGACTGTAAGCAAAGTGTATTACTTTTAAATACAGTGGCCCCTCTGTTTTCGAATTTAATCCATTCCCAGATATGGTTCGTGACCCAAAAATTCGCGGCCTGTAACAAATTTTCCCATAAGAAATAATGTAAATTGAATTGATCTGTTCACACTTCCAAAAATATTAATTTCAAAATACTTTTCATACCTAATTTGCACAAATATTTAGTACTATAGTACAATGGGGCCTCGACTTACGATGCTAATCCGTTTCCAGAGACGGATCGTAAGTCGAATTGATTTTTCCCATAATAAATAAAGGAATTGCATTAATCCATTCCTCACCCTCCAAAATATTAACATACAAATACATTTTATATGAATACAATGTTTTTTTCTAACTACAATACAGTACCAAAGTTTCTCTTACCTTTATGGAGGGCTTTTGATGGCGTATGGAAGATGGTGATGAGAGGGAGAATTGTTACTGTTTGGAAGGGGAGTCCCCTTCCATTATCACATCAGGCAGTGATGTTTTCTCTGGGGTACTCTCTCTCCTACGTTTTGCCTGAACACCACTAGGACCTGGTTGTGGTTCACTGCTTGTTTGTCTCACTACAAATTTGTCAAGAGACATTTGTTTTTCCCTTCGTTTTAACATTTGTCTGTAATGATGCATCACAGTGTCATTGAATAGGTTAAGGCAACAACCTACTGCAGCTTGATTTGGGTGAGTCGTTTCAGCAAAGGTTTGCAATTCTTCCCATGCTGCACACATTTTCTTAATTGTTGAGGAAGAGACATTCTGTACTCTTGTTTCTGCTCTATGGTCATCCTTACATGGGTTTTCATATGTTGAGCCTTACCCCTGATTTTCCTGGGACTCATGGCATGATATATAATAATTACTTTAATGTTCAAAATGCAAAAAATCACCACAAAAGCGGAATTTCTTATAGGCGCGATCGTCACTAAGCGGGCAGCTGTAGTAAACCGAGGCAGGTCGGCCGCGTGACCGGAAACCACACGCTCGGTCGACCCGAACGTGTACAAATATCGGATGTCGAGTCGCATTTTTCCATGAAATTTACATCGTAACTCAAAATTATCGTAAGTAGGGGCAATCGTATGTCGAAGTGCCACTGTATGTACAAGTTATACCTTACCTTTATTGATGACTCTTGTTGGTGTATGGAAGATAGTGAGGAGGAGCAGATGTTAGTGTTTGGAAGACGAGTCCCCTTCCGTTATAACATCATGCACTGATGACTTCTCCGGGGTACACTCTCTCCTACGTTTTGCAGGCATAATACTAGGAACTAACTGGTTGTGGCTCACTGCTTGCTCGTCTTACTAAGAATCTGTCTGAAGACATTTTATTTCCCTACATTTTAACACTTGTCTGCAGTGAGACATCACATTGTCATTAATAAGGTCAATGCAACAGCCTGCTAAAGCTTTATCTGGGCGAGTCTTTTCAGCAAAACTTTACAGTTCTTCCCAAACTGCACACATTTTCTTAATGAGGCACGGACATCCTCTACTGCCTCCTCCTTCCCTGAAAATTTGTTGTACTGCCTAGCTAGTTCAATAACCTGTGTACCATTTTCACGTTTACAAATGATCTCTTGTTTTTTCTCTATGGTCATCCTCACATGTTTTCTTAGGTTGAACCTTATCACTGACTTTCTTGGGATCCATGGAATGATATCCCAGGCCATGGATGCCATCCCATATGGAATTTTTGGCACTCCAAAAAGCAATGGAATTAATGCACGATCGTCACTAAGTGGGAAGCACTGGTAAACTGAAGCGCGGGCAGCTGTGCCACCAGGAACCACATGCAAGGTTGTCCATACATGATATCAACAAACTACGTTACTCAAGGCAAAGCTCGTAAGCCGATTTACATTTTATAAAGAAATTTGGCTCATAACCCGAAACATTCGTAAGCCGAGGTGTCACTGTACTGGAGTCTGGGGACAAACAAAGAACACAGTTCAAGCTGTAGGATCATTGCAAAAATTTTCAACTGAGAAATAATGAAAGACCTCTGTAGGGAGTCAGCATCCATGGCACAGTGGATGATGTGCACATCTGCTTAATACTCGCTTGATGGGGTTCTGAGAGTTGTTCTACTCCCCAAGCTCACCCCGAGGCTAGGCTTGACTTGTGAGAGCTTGGTCCAACAAGCTGTTATTTGGAGCAGCCCGCAGGCCCACATACCAAGCACAACCCGGTTGCTCCGGCACTTCTTCAAGAAAATTATAGTTTTCTCTTAACCCTTAAATGGTGCATGGCTATATACATTATATATAAATATCTATATAATAAATTTATATAAATATACACATTATATATAAATTAGTGGTCGTGATGGTCAAGTGGATTAAGGCGTCTTGTACATACCAGTTGCGTTGCTCCTGGGAGTATGGGTTCGAGTCACTTCTGGGGTGTGAGTTTTCAGTTGCATATTGTCCTGGGGACCATTCAGGCTTGTTCGCACATTATATATAAATATCTACCTGTTTTATTCACCATACTTGTACAAGTAAACTGGTATGGTGCCCAAAGACCATCGTGGTCATTAGTAAACAACATGATAAATCGTGCAGACGACACCACCACCCTCACCAAAATGGTGGCTCCCAACCTACTCCTCTTGCTGTTTATACTCTCTATACACACGTTATATATAAGTATCTACATTTGTGTTCACCATAGCGAACCACTAAGCTGGTATGGTGAGTGCAGTCAATAAAAGGTGGTCACACACTGTCAGAAGACATTGCCACCACCCTCCCTCCCACAGCATTACTCCTCCCTCCATGGAGTTGGATTCGTTGCAAGAGGTGACCTTCAGGAGGCGTTTGCATCAGTCTTTATTTTTCTTGTAGACAATAAAAATGCATTATCATATTATATACTGTACCTATATATTATTACTCTACTAACAAATACTGTTACATTTGTTATTTACCTTATTGTTGGAGTTAAGTCCATCTTGAAGTCTCATGGAGTTGTGAATGCTGTACAGTAAATACATACTGTAGTGTATTATGCCGTTAACACTGTGTTGAGTAGTTCTGTTGTATGTTGAGTACTACAATAAAGTTTATGAAAACTATTGTACACTAAAATTACTGCAACTTTAATTTTAACACTATGTTTTGCTTTGTCATGAGGCTGGAGTGTTCATTCCGTGACTTTGTTGGACATACCGGCACAATCAAGGAACATCCGTGCACCATGTCGGCTCCAAATGCACTCAGTGTGTCAGTGATGGCTGATTGGTGGGTGGATGGGCAGGGAGGGAGGCAGGAAGGGAGGCGGGCAGGCAGAGCTTGTGAGGGAGAGGCAGGCAGGGAAGGAGAGGATGGAGATGGATTGATGGAAGCATGGAGGGAGGGATGGAAGGATGGATGATTTGAGGGTGTGTGTGTATGGGCTGTAGGGGTGGGGGGGGGAGGTGTGTCGGTGGTGGTTATCTTGAGATGATTTCGGGGCTTTTTAGTGTCCCCGTGGCCCGGTCCTCGACCAGGCCTCCACCCCCAGGAAGCAGCCTGTGACAGCTGACTAACACCCAGGTACCTATTTACTGCTAGGTAACAGGGGCATAGGGTGAAAGAAACTCTGCCCATTGTTTTTCGCCGGCGCTTGGGATCGAACCCAGGACCACAGGATCACAAGTCCCGCGTGCTGTCCGCTCGGCCGACCGACTCCCCCAGTGAAGGGACCGACTCTGTGATAACCCTAACTCTGACCCAGTTAACTTTTTTTTAACTTGATTTGTTTCTTCAATTCTGGATGGATGGAGGGAGAAAGGGAATGGATGGAGAGAGAGGGAGGGAGGGCTGGAGAGAGAGAGAGGGAGGAAGGGAGGGAAGGAGAGAGGGAGAGAAGGATGGAGAGAGGGATGGAGGGAGGGAGAGAGGGAAGGAGGGCTGGAGTGAATTATCAGGGGGAAAGCGCCAAGCCATTACGACTATATAGCACTTGGAAGGGGTCAGGATAAGGATTTGGGATGGGACGGGAGGGAGGAATGGTGTCCAACCACTTGGACGGTCGGGGATTGAACGCCAACCTGCATGAAGCGAGACTCTCGTTCTACCGTCCAGTTCAAGTGGGAGGGATGGAGAGAGCGAGGGAGGAAGGGAGGGAGGGAGGGAGGGAGGGAGGGAGGGATGGATGGATGGAGAGAGGGAGGGAGGGAGAGAAAGAGAAAGAGAGAGGGATGGAGAGAGGGAGGGATGGAGGGGGAGAGGGAGGGAGGGATGAAACAAGCATGGTGTGTGTACAGGGATTAGACCTGTCCACTCACGCTAGAGTTGTTCCAATAACATACAGTAATTTCTCAAAGAGCAGATGTCTATCATATTACAGTATATTTTCGGTTTTATTTAGTTTAGTTTAATTAGGATAATAAAAAGCTATTAAAACACTGGTTTTAGAAATTATTTATTAATATGAAACTTTCAAAAGTCATGGGTCACTGAACTATGACGACACACAGACGAAAGTGAGTGAAACCTCACTGTAAAGTGAGGTTTACAGTATAGTATTCTCTTATCTGTCCACCCTCACTCATCTTGTTTCATCACAGAAAATGTCTATAAGGAGATTTTACCACATGTAGCTAGGTAATCACGCTTCATCCTTTAAATTAATGTACAGAGATACGTGTGCCCCAAATCAGTGAACGAAAATCATGGAAACTCAGTTGTTCACTTGTGTGGATCACTGGCTGGTATTTGTGTGAACCATTCTGGCTGGTGTTTGGTTCATATGGTTCACTTGTGTGATCCAACTTCTTATGAAGGAATTATTAATTGTAATCTGTGATAGAATGAGAAAGTTTTCCACCACTCTG